AGGATTCTAGGAAGATGTCAGCTCCTTTGTTTGAAAACTCATACCTCCCAGCAATGAAAAGGAACAAAGTCTTTTCAAGATCAAAGTCCAGATGACTAAAACAAAACAAAACAGTTTCAAATGAAATAAAGCAACCAACAAAATGTACACATGAATTCTGTTAAAGTACAAAGGGGGCCAGGAAAGATAAACATTTACTGTAACAATCCTGTTTTCTCTATACCAGAGATAACCTAAAATAATTTTTTTTTAATAAAGAAAAGCATACCCATAGAAATGACCTCGAACAAAATCCTGTATCCTGGCCTTGTACGTTGCATGTAGATTTTGAAATTCATGTACTGCTGAAAATTTTTTAACATTTAAACCATTTGGAGTAACTACATCTGAAAAAGCAAAATAAAAAATAAAATCATCATGAAATTTCCTCTTTTGAGAGAGGGTACCACTGTAGAAAAACAACGTATTTAAATCTATAAAATTAGATGTCTATTAACATTTCTAGTTTCTAACTATCATAAAATTGAAAACTCACAAAACTCCGCAATAAATTGTTGAAATAGGAAATCAGGAGTACTTTACTGAAATAACATTGAGGGACTGGTAAAACAAAACATTCTAATTAAATAATAATGATTATTTCAGTTTTATTGATTGCTTACTATGAACTAGGCACTGCTCTAAATGCCTTACAATGTAACTCATTTAATCCTTACAACAACCAATGAAGTAGATGCTCTTATCTGCATTTTTAGAGGCAGAAACTGTGCCACAGAGTTGTTAAGGAATCCACTGAGAACACAAGTACAAGTATGAGTAGCATCCATACATTATGCCTTCATGTGTTCTGTTCTAAATCAGGTAGTCCTTAAACTACCTCTTATCATTTTGTTGTGACCAAGTGTGGGGGCAATGTTCTAGCCATTTGGAAAACTGGAAAGGCAGCCCTTTATTTCTAATATCCAGAAGATTTTGTTGTTCAGGCAGGAAGACATTTTTGGTTTTCCAGATTATTGGTCTGGGATAAGAAAGATAAAAGACTACTCACAGGACAAGAAAAAAACTACCTACTGAGTTGAATAGGTGGGTTATTGCATTGAGCAGCAGTAAAAACAAAAGTAATAAACAGAAGCTATGTCCAAAAATTTAGCAAATGGCAATGGAGAGTTTCGTAATGGAGACCTGAGCTAGAATTATGAGTATGTCATCATTTTGAAGGATAGTTTACAATTATAAGGCTATTCCCTTGAAATGGTTCCACAAACTCAACCAAGGTTTCTTGATCATTTCTTGTGAAGGAAAAAAAA